TTTCTGTTCCAGAGGAAACTTTGCCAGTGGAGCCACCTCCCAGCCCCAGGCTTTCCTTTTGCAAACCTTCAGGGGTTAAGCACTGTAGTTGCCCCTGTTCCAAGGAGCTATTGGACACAACGATCATGCATATTTTGGTCTTTTCTTATTGTTGTTTGGATGAATTGTCATGTGGCATGAAGCTTGTTGTGGTTGGATCCATCCCTAAACAAACAGCTGAACTTAAAAAATACTATTTTTTCCTGGTGCTTAAAAAAATAGTAATCATTGGACTAAAAGAGACTCTCTCAGTGCCAGTCAGTCACTGTTCCCTCTGAAAATAGAAACAGATGCAAATTTCTCTAAAGCTGACCCATCTTCATAAACAGGAAGTTTAGAAAGACAGGTAAATCTATCCACCCTTAGGAAGGGAGCCTATCTAAGAGTCTGTGATCAAATTCTTTGCTTCCTCCTTGAGTCCTAAACCAAATCCATCGCCTATTACTTAAAACTCTCACCTCCACATTTGCAGAGTTGTTGTTTTATTTTGTTTTTTCTCAATGGGCTGTAGACTTGGTAACCCCCCAAATAGCTTCTCAGACTAGTTATATTTAGTTCACATTAGTGTTTGTTCTGAAAAGTGAAATTAGAGATTCCGCAAAATAATATCGAAACTTGGTAAAGGGCCAAACCCGATTTTGTTGCCAGAATCGTATACTGAAAGCCCAGTCTGATATAACAGCTTGGTGCTATAGAAAGAGCACTGCACTGTGAGTTCAAGACACATCAGTCTAGTCCTGTCTCTACTGAAAATTTCTCTGAAGGCTTCCATAAGTCATGGCAACATATGAACCTCAGCTTCCCTCATGCAAAATGAAATTATTGCTTTCAGCTCCAAGGTCATCATCATCATCAACCAGTTTTTGATCATATGTTATGATCAAGCCATCTGAGCATCATACTAAACAGTCAATCATTCAACCATTATTCAGAAGAGGAAACCAAGGTTCACAAATTCTGAGTGATATGCCCGAAGTCAAATCAATAGTAAATGGAACCTCTGCTAAAAATGTCAGGTCTACACCTCACTGCCTCAAAGACTGTGAGCCTCACAGGTAACAGAACACCTTTCTTGGTCAAGAGAATCTTCAAGATCTCCCCATCTCTAAAGGATAATGTTCAAATTCCTTAACGTAGCATTGCAGTCCTTCCTCGTCTGGCTTCAGATCAGCTTTTCAATGTCTCAACTCCAGGATCCATTGAACTCTCTGAACTGTGACCTTGCCATATACACACATGGATCAAGATGTAGTTATATTCTTCCCGGAACATGGGGAAGTTCTTTTGATCCTCCAAGATGCTGCCCCCAAAGCATCTTCTCAGGAAGCCATCCCCCATTTTTCCAAGTAGTGTTGATCCCCCTACAGAAAAGAGTCCTGTTGGATTCATTAGTGTATCCCCAGTGCCAGTGCAGTCACAGAGCAGATACTTAGAAACTACTGGTGAAGTGAATTAATAGTCCTTACCAGTTCTCCTCTGAAGATTAGGACCTATCTTAGCTGAGGATGATAACATCCCTTCCTCCTAAAATCTCTTAAGATTGGGCACTGTATTACTTTGCCTTTAAAATCTGTATTATTTTCTCATCTCTTGTTTGTTATTGTAGTTGATCATTCCAGCTCTATATTGAGGCGGTCGAAAAGGGAATCTTGTCTTCAGTTTATATCTATATTGGGAAACTAAGGAACAGAGAGATGAACTAACATGCTAATATTATCTGATAACCATGGGCAGATCAGAAGGGTAAATACAGGGTTTCAAAATTCAAGAATGAGAATTTATAACAATGGCTTGAACGCCATTGTTTGCTTATACATCAAAGTAAACTCATATAATTTCCTTGAAGCGTGGCTTTCTGAGTTTTCAGATAGGGGTGATGATCTCTGTCTCAGTGTCCTTTGGACATGCCTCGGGAATGCAGAGGCATGCATTTCAGTTCCGTGGTGCAGGCCCACGGAAATTGAAGATTACATAAAGCTAAGCAGCATCGGTTGTGTTTGTCCACTTACAGAGTCCATTGGGCTCAGGCTCTTGGAGCTGAGCTCATTGCTTCCAAAAGGAAAAGAAAGTGTCTTTCAAGTAAAAGCTCAGTCATGGAAGATAGACTCAGCAGTGTCCCCCCAAGCCACAGCAAGACTCCTCACTGGATAGAGCAGATTTTTAAACCTGTCACCACATGAAAGGAACTGAATCTGAATTGTGGAGTTCCCTCAATGTCAGCAGAGGTTCCCTCATGTCAAGAGAGGAAGGGCTGGGAATCAGCCTGTCCCTGAAATTCCCCTGTAAGCCAGTTGCCACTGGTGTCTCAATAACTTTCCCTCCCCCACTACACCCAGTGTAAAAAAATGTTTTTTTCAAAGAGCACAGCATTTAAACTATATTTGGACAAGAGTATATGCATCAGAGGTGCCAAATTTTAGTTATTCATTCATTCAACAGATACTGAGTCTAATAGGTTTTCACAGTACCCCTCCCCATGGGATGTATCATTATCAATGCTACCTAGCTACTACATGGAAGGCAGGCAGTAAGGTGATCATTTGGCTTCAAACTCTTTTCACTACAATCTGCTCTCTTCCCAGCATAAAGCATTCAAGAAGCACTAAGTAAATTGTAATGAAAACAGAAAGGCCAATCTTGTTCTATTGTTTTGTTGTCACTCTCTTTCCTGACCACACATTTGTATTCCATTCCCAACCATGTTCCCTTCAGTGCATGGGGCATTGGAGTAGGGATGGAGAGAGAATTCCCCAGATGAAGATGGGCAGATGTATCTGAAGGACCCCTGGGACTCTAGCAAGGGAAATGAATAGCAGAGTCTAAGGATGTTATTCAAAAAAAGGGGACTCGAGAGTAGCTTTGTTAGCAAAATCTTGGGGCAGAAACCAAGCATCCTTCCACTCCCCTCTCTCTTTTTTCTTCTCTTTAGCCTTTCTCTCTTTTAACTCTGTTTATATCAATCTGTTTATATTAACTATTTGTCTGTTTAGGTACCTATTTAACTACTTATATCTATCTTTTTCTCTCCTCCATTCCCAGGTTCTGCTGATTCTAGGCAGACATATATTAAGGTCATAATCAGGAAGAAATTAGCCTTCATGATTATTCCAACTCTAGCCCCAACTTCTGACACTCTGAGGTCTCTTCAGTGGGGGAATAAATTGTCTTCTTAACGAATAGATCTTCTACAATCTTATTTTAATCTTACCTTACTGGTCTTCATATTAGAAAAGCAGAAATGTATTACCAAAAGTCAGGCAACCCCATGACCGTATCTACAGGAGGCTGTGCAGTAATTCTTCTGTAGATACCACACATAAGGGGAAACCCCTCTGCCATGCTTGTACTTCTGGCTCTGTGGACACCTCACCTGTTAGGGCTCTCAGAGTTCCTTCAAATAGATAAAATGGGAGAGGGGCTGGCATTGTACACAATCTCAGGAAATTACTGCAACAAGGTAAGTATTATCTCCATTCCTTTTCAGAGGAGGGAAATGAAGTTCAGAGAAGACAGGTAATTTTGTTTCAGTCTTACATATCGTATATATGGCAGAATTAGGACTGGAAACTGGCTTTATCTGATGCCAAAAACTATGTTCTTTGCAATTCCCTGTCTTGGGTGAGTGAAGTCTGCATTGATGGTTGGTCATTCTTGGATTGAGCCTACGCTTTATTTTATGTGAGTTGGCCACATTGACCAGGACACTGGAGCTCTAGAGAAGTGCTGAGCCTGTGTCCGTCCCTTGCTTGAACTGCCAGGCATGCTAGTGGTCACTGGAGTCTGTGCTGGCTCCAACCCATCCTCAAATAATTGAATTATAATTAATTGATTTATTCTGGCTCTTTCGATAGTATTTCACTGTGTAAACTGCAGAAATATATTAACAAGGGATTTTGGAGCTTGGAAGGGGCTTAATATTCTTCTGCCCCTGAATTCACGGACTCCTTTTTCAGATAGTCAGCATCCTAGGAATCTTGGCCTTATTTCTGCTTGATCTGGGTGCTTTCTGTTATGGGGAAGGCTTCTTGAAGGTGTTTTAGGCGAGTGCTGACTTCGCAAGCTGATTCAGTTCAGTCGGTTAGAAATAAAATTACCCCTTAGAAGATAAAGCCCATTATTGTAGAATGGGCAAGGCTTGGTTGGCTTACCTGAAATGCCCAGGGTATCTAACAAGCCCTAAAAACCTAGAGAATTAGATAGGAAGTGCTCCTAGCATCCCAGTGGTCTAACTTCCTTCTCTATAATAAGTATAATCGAGGCCAGAGAGAAAGAGTCCTGCCTAAGTAACAGAGCAGTTTAGTTACAGAGCTGGAACTGGAACCAGCCTCTCTTGTATATAAATTAACTCTTCATGTGAAACCAAAAACCTCTTGGAGCTCAATAAACCTCATTTTGTGACTGGGGAGTTCCGTGGCATCGAGTAATGTCTCCAGAACCTCGAAAGGGAAAAATCTGAGTTCGAAACCAGGATCCGGCATTAACACACTATGTGATCTGGAGCATATTATTAACAATGTGTGAGATCTCGTTTCCTGATCTGAAAGACTAAAATGATAACTAAAATAATAATGCCTTCCTCACCAGCTTGCTGTAGGCTCACTTGGGATAATGAAAATAGAAGTGTTTGTGAGTTTCGCATGCGTACACGTGTAGTGAAAAACACGTAAGATCAATCCTCTTAAAATGTTAGGCGTATAGTACAGTATTATTAACACAGTACATGTCCTTTTGTGACTGGCTTAAATCATTTGTGATAATGCCCTCCATGTCTGCTCATGTTGTCACATATGGAAGGATTTCCTTTTTTTTTGAAGGCTAAATAATAATCTGTTGTGATGATCAGTGATGTGCTTTAACAGTGCTGATGATACTTCTGGTCCAGTTCCACAGTTGCTACTGATGGCTGAGATCAAATGACCAATATATCTCTCTGTTCTTCCCCTTCCGTGTCGCTCCTGCAGATGAACCCAGCCGGTGCTATTTCCATGATGGTGACGGGGTATGTGAGGAGTTTGAACAAAAAACAAGCATCAAGGACTGCGGTGTCTACACACCCCAGGGGTTCCTGGATCAGTGGGCATCCAATGCTTCAGTTTCCCATCAAAACCAGCAATGCCCAGGATGGGTCATCATTGGCCAGCCAGCAGCATCCCAGGTAAGACGCCAACCATGGGTGGCATTTCCTGCCGATATTCTGAATCTCTACTCTATCCCTCAGAGCTTTCCACCTCGAAGGTAGTGTCATTGGATGTGGCCATGTGACCATACGTCTAAACAAATATAATTCCAGAGCCTCATGAGTACCATTTCTCTCAGGGATTAGATATGGAATAGCTAAGCACAGGGAAGGAACGTCAGGGTAATGACTGTCCTCCTATGTCCCTACCTATTATAATTCACATTTAGGAAAGAATTCCATTTTGGACATACCACTGGAATTCAGTGGGGAAGAACACATTCTTTTGGGTGGAGTTCCACAATTTATTTTGTGTGTATGTGTGTGGGAGGATACTCTTTGAACACTCCTGTGAATTTGCTGTGTGGCCTTGGACTAGTCTCCCCACCTCTCTGGCCCCCATATTTTTCTATCTTTAAATTAGAAAGTAGGTCAGCTTGATTATCTCTAAGGACCTTCCCAACTCTAAAAAGCCGTGACTCACTCTCCGGTCCCCTAATGCACTGTTTGCGCTCCAGGGTTCTTCCCCAAAGGACTCTCCGCTCGGTCGAGGGACTAAGAGTGTTGGGGCCAGCAGAGCTTATGTGATTCTAGGGATGGCTGTGCTGTCCCCAGAGCTCCCTTTCCAATTATCCTGCTGAGCAAGCACCTGCCTTCTTCCGAGACTCCCATTTCCCAAAGACACGACTCAGTGCTTCTGACCGCCTGGCCCAGTGGCTGCCTCTGAGGCCAGTCTGCCTCCTGGCCTTGTAGATGAGTCATTATACTGTTTCCCTGATTTAGGGTCAGTGGGGACATACCTGATTTCTAGATAAAAGAGAGATGTGATCTTCTCCTGGGGCCCAGTGAAAAAACCATTGGATGAGGTACAAGATGAGTACATTCACTTATGTATTTTATAGTGTTTATCTGATCATTTCTCATTTACCCATTTGCTTATGTTTATATTCATTAGATTCCCTATTCATTCCTTTGCATTTATTTATGACTGCCCTGAGGAGAATGTGTGGAGAGAAATGGGAACACAGTATCAAGTATCCCTGATGCTTCTCATGGGCAGTGCCCGTCTGGTGAATGAATGAATGAATGAATGGGTAAATGAATGAATGTCTAGGCCTCATCCTACCCCTGTGCCATCGCTGTACTTGAGGAACTCATCTTTGGCTACACCCAATTTCATGAACTCTAATAATCAGTTTGTGTGTCTGGCTCCCCCATTAGGCTGCTGGCACTTTCATAACTGTTTTGAGTTTTATTCATCTCTCTCCCCTTCTTCAAGCACAAGATCCAGATAAGACTAGCTGCTCAGAAAATGTGTGTTTAATTGGTTATAAATTCACGCACGTGAACACACATACATGTACACATTGCTACATACAATGAAAAACACTAAGAGACAATGTTCAAGAACCACATCTGTATTTCAGAGAATGTCCTGCTCAGGGTTGTCAGGGCTGGCTGTTAGAGCCAGGAATTCCAGATTCAACACCAGCATCTCTTTCTAGAAGTGTTTCAAAAAAATTCATTCAAACATTATTAACACACACAGACTCTCACAAGAGCAAGAAGTGAGGTAGCAGCTGTGCTTAAAAATCACTCAAAGGTTATCGCTGCAAATGTGAGAAGAGGAGAGAAAGACTTTTCCAGTCTTAGCGCTTGAAAGAGACTTCATGGGGCAATTATTCCACTTTGGTAAGGAAGGGGCTGTCAGGAATTATGGGCAATTATCTCTTCCTAAACAAAAATCCAATTTAAAAAAATCATTATCAATACTACAAAGAGGAGATGAGGAAACAAAATCATCCTATTGAATTATTCATTGCAACCAATTTTATTTTAATGAAATCGACTAGGTTCCATTACTATGGGCTTGGACATAATCTTTGTTACAAGGAGACTTCAGCTGTAACTAAATTTGCCTTAATGAGATCAACTCACTGGAGAATACAGGGTCGAGGATAGGGTGTGTGTGCAGGCTGGGTGCAGGGCCAGGCAGGGCGGCCTGGAGGGCTGTTGAACAAAGTCTCCTGAAGCCCCCCTAAGAAAGCAGATGCCTAGAAATCATTCACACACTGAGCCCCCATCGTGCGCGCGCGCACGCGCGCACACACACACACACACACACACACACACACACAGCCTGTGTAGTTCTGAGTAAAGCTGTTTGTGGAATGGAAACTAGCTCCCTTCTGACAGCACAGCAGAGGGGGATGAGGTATAAACATGGCGCTCATTACCTTGTGCAGTGATTAGAGAAGGCTGATAGCTAATTCTCACCCTGTCAGTGACTCGAGTGAAGAAGTTGATGGCTTGAGAAAAGGAGTTGGGAAGTACTTAGATGCACTTTCCCCTATACAATTAAGCTCTTCTCCTCCTCCTCCTTCCTCTTTCTCTCACACACACATGCATACATGCACACACAAAAACACGAAAACATTTCTACAAAAATAGGCATTATAGGGGCAGGATTCCAGAGAGTATGAACAAAAGCAGACACAGGAAAATAGTGGAAGTGAACAGGGGTCTCCTGGTCCACCAGCCACCATACTGGACACTCATACATCTCATAACTTATCCCCCTTGCCATTCCTCAAGCTAAGAAGCATTGCCCAGGTTGGAGAAACAGAGAGGTGGAGTGGCTTGCCCAACGGTCTGTAGCCCATACATGAAGAATTTAGGATCAGAAGGATGTCATGGAAGGTGATAGGAAAAGCTTAGGAATATGTATGTGATCATGTTCAAAAGTTGCAAGTAACTGGATTCCTGGCAAGTATCCCTGGGAAACAAGCAGAAAGAATTATAGGTGGACAGATCATAGAGTTGCTGTCACTGTGCAGACCCTGTGAGATACGTGAATTCTCTGCTTGACTTATGGGCACTGCCCACAGCTTTGAGTTCAGGCTGCTTCCACTCCCTGTCCCGGGGGTCCTATTCCCTAGCCCCGTGGTGCTCACCGGGATGTCCATGAACTTGGGAAGTGATGAAATGTGTATGGTTGTTTCCATTTTCTCTTTATAAACCAGTTTTGCCCTACTCTGTCTTCTCCCGATGCTATAAAAATGAGAAATACAAGTGTCTATTGAACTCATGTGCCTGATTCTATGCTGGAATCTGTGAAAGAAACAAAAAAAAGGGGTGGGGGGAGGTGAGGGGAAGACACAACCTCTGGTCTGTTCAAGTACAAGACTTGGGCATGAGAATTCTCTGGGGAGAAGCCCTGTCCAAGTAAGTTGGCAGGGTCTCACCTTGACCACTAGAAAGAAGAAACAGTCATTTAGCTATAGGAGTTCAGAAAGTTGATTAAAATTTGATTTTTTATTTTGTATAAGCTCTCCACTTTAACAGTTTCTGAACTCTTTCTCTATTCTCCTCATGTAAGATCCCCAAATTTGGTTAGGACTTAGTTACTCCACCCTGAACATTTAGTTTTATATTCAAATATTACCAGAAGTATCAAAACTTCCTGGTTGTGCAAATTGGGCTGAATATCCTATAATAAGAGACATTCTTTGGATATTTTGGCCATGCACCTTCCTGGCCCAGCTGGAATTCAAGAAGTCCCTGAAACAGAACAAACATGGAAATGAACCCAAAGAATCCAGTCCTCTCTGCTCTGGGAACCTCAGAAATGGATTGATTTAATGGTGCTTTTTGCAAAGATCCCATCTTGTTCTTATTTTGTCTCCTTGTTTCACCAAAGGCTTTAAACCAAAGGCTGCTCAAATGAGATGTAGCTATTCCTTTATCTTGTCCCCACCCCCAGCATTTCTACTAAAGCCAGTTTCCCCTTCTCCAAGCAGGCACCTCCCTCCTCCCACAGTGGCCTAGGCAAAGTGTGGAAACACTAAGGAATGTGCAGTATTTCCCAGGAATCATGGACCTTCACTCAACCAACCAGTTCACTTGGTTAATACTTTAAGGCTAAGATTTAAGCTAAGCAGATCCAGGGCAGTGGTTTCAGAGTCAAGGTAAAGAAAACATGGGTAAACCTTGATATTGAGAACCATCCGCAGTTGGAAGGAGAGCCTTGTGAGGTAGAGAGGTCCCCACCAGGAGGTTTCCAGCTAAGCTGGTGATGGAGCAGGAGATGCCTGTGTTGGTGACCTAATCATCTTCATTTCCTTTGCAATTGGGTTTCTGACTTCCTATTTATTATATCAGCCCCTTAGTGGGTACATCCCCTGGGTCCTTTAACAGTTCACTTTGTTTCTTGGCATGCCTATAATACTTCATGCCTCTGTTAGAATACAAATTGTGATTTCTCTTGTGTTATAGCATTTTTATATTAATTCATTTATTTGCTTGATCAAAAAGAAGTCTATTTGATCCCTGCACTGAGACCTGTGGGCAGGTAGAGAGCATGGGTGCTGATGGGTGAAAAAGAAGTCATGCAAATGTGGCTTCTTTCCTTCCTTGGGAACCTGGAGTAAATGACTTCTCTGGGAACCTCAGTTTCCTCCTCCAGAAACAGGGAATGATACCCTCTACCTGTTGGAGATTAAGGGAGCAAATCAGCAAAATCTCGTAGCCCTAGTTTTTTCCACTTAGTATGGGTGGTGCCAAGGTTAATTTCCTCTCTCATTCATGTTAGGCTTCCCTAACACCCTTGCCCCAGGACTGGCCACAGTGACCCACCCAGTACAGCTCAGTCAACACTCCATTGAGTTCAACACAGTTGTGTTAGCAAATGTTCACTGTAGCCTCAGGACTGTGCGAGGCATTTTGAGAGACTGCAAGGAAGTTCTGGCCTTTCTGCTGCCCTCATAAAGCTCACCGTTTCATCAGAGGGTGTGTCCATCCAAATCCCAGCCAAGACCCAGGAGTGTGAGAGTCGGAGGAGTTACCCCGAGGAAACCACACTGTGATCGGCTTACTCAGTCTGCAGGGGTGTGAGCTGGCATGTAGGGATGGGAAAGTCCTGTGCCCACTTTCAGAAGGTCCTGAGCAAATTGTAAAAAGAACATCCAGTTTCTCTAGGC